TCCTAACCTGAGCTAATGAAGACGGGCATACGCCATACAGTGTGCTATGAGGGAAATTTTGCCTGGGCAGCGGCACTATCGCCTACTCTTATATCGAATTCCAACTGCCAAGGGATCTTTTACGTGCATTCCAATGTATACACGGGACCTCGGTTTTTCGTGCCATCCGAAGGACTAGACAGCTGTCCTTGTCAGGCCCTCCGTCCTGCATCACTGACAAGGGGGAACCACGCCGGAAAATCTGGATGAACTTTCTCGGCCAATGCAGGGATCGAACACCCGACCTCCAGGCTAGCGAGCCAGCGCCTTACCCACTTAGTCCCCTGAAGGTAATTGAAGATAGAGATCAAAGATAGATTCGACTGAAGACTTAAAATCGATTACAGAATACAATACTATCTGTGCAAGAAGAGATTTAAATTGTTTAGGACTATTAAATTTTCTAGAACTTCAAACATTTCCTTTTATTATAATCCATGTCCAAATATAAATGCTGATACGGTAGTCAGTGGACATGCGTAAAAACTGCACTTCCGAGGCGAGAACACAAGATGTCGAGATTGTGACGAAGCGAGGGAGCGAGAACACAAGAGGACGAGATTAACCCAAAGGCGAGAAGACAAGGTTTTTCAAAGGCGAGAAGACGAGGGCGAGAACACGAGGTTTTTCAAAGGCGAGGGAGCGAGAAGTCGAGGGACGAGGGAGCGAGAAGTCGAGGTGAAAGTAATCTCGTGTTCTCAGGGCGAGATCCTTGTATTCTCGCCCTATTTCCTTGTGTTTTCGTCTTCTCGCCCTCGACTTCTCGTCTTCTCGCCCTCGACTTCTCGTTTCTGAAATGGCCGCAATAGGCTTCCATAGAAATGTTTGTTGTAACTTCCATACTCATGCTTGTACATGTAGTTGAGAATAAACTATTATTATACACTTAGACGTAGTCATATTTTAGTAATACATTCTGTTCAGTGTCCCAGATACAAAAACCTGTGCTTGAAATATATCTACCCTACTTTAATATAATCTTGTCACTTAACTTTTGAGCTTCTATTTAATCTGCCAGATTTTAAGGAAAAGGGAGCACCTGCCTAGTCTTATTTTCTGCTGCATGTTCTGACTCCACATTTGATCATTATACATGTATGTACAAGGTTATACTTCATATTTCCATTTCATTGTTATACTTTCATTGCTAGGCTATATTTTCATTGTATCATCCCAATGGTACATGTATATATCTCATTATATTCTCATTTCATTATATCATGTTATTCCAATATAATATTCCATGTAAAGTATATTTTTGTGTACATGTATATTGATGTATGTGTATGTTTTGTATAGCCTACCGTTCTTAATTAATGGACGTAATATGCAATAGTCCGGTGGCTGAAGGGGGGGAATCGCCACCCGAGCTGTGAATTTATGAGACCAAGTTTTTCTAGACCAGTTTTTTGCATAGATTCCGAATCTGGGTGGTGATCAGGCGTTTGAGGGGGCGTTTTCGAGATATAGGGGGTTAAATGTCTACAATGAGGGGGGGGGGGGGAGATGTCATTATGTTGACGTAATATATTAATAAAATATAAATTTCTAAGACTGCCCATCTATAAATAAGTGTTTATGATGCCCCTGGACAACTGTTTTGATTTGTGGGGATGTGGGGTGGGGATAGCAGGTGTGTGTGTGTGTGTGTGGGGGGGGGGGTCATTATGTTGACATAATATATTAATAAAACATAAATTCCTAGGACTGCCCATATTTAAGTAAGTGTTTATGATGCCCCTGGACAACTATTTTGATTTGTGGGGAGGTGGGGTGGGGGTAGCAGGTGTGCGTGTATGGATGGGGGGGGGTACAATTGGCGGGAAGTTCACGTTGATGATATTTTTAGAGCTTGGTAAAAACATTACTTTTTAATTCCACTGCACATCTCTAAATATGTGTATACGATTACCATTGTATGGGGGAGAGTAAATGTATTTTGGGGACAGAAACCACTTGGTTCAAAATTGACCTGAAAAGTGTTTTCTCAAGTTTTCTTTCAGTGCCAATATCATCATTCAAAATTATAATGGCACTTTTCGAGAGATCTGGAAATGTACATAAAAAACACATTCTAATAATATGAGTGGGATAGATATCTTCTTGATATGCGTATATCCTTTTGATATGCTTCAGATACCCATTCACATTGTAAATTTTCATTCCAGCCTTGTATCGCAGGGTCGTCTTCTTCGATCATTAATTTTGCAACTTGTCTCCATATTGCTGCAACATAATTATTGTGTTTAATGTGCAGCAAAAGACTACTCGGGCAAGATGGTAATAAAGAAAGAAAGTTTTGTTATTTTTCATCACAATTAAAATTTCTCCAGAAGATCCTTCTCCTAGTGTCATCTACTGATGTAAGTTGGTTTTCGCCGTACAAGGTACATGTACAAACAATTTTTTCTAAACCAGCAATTACGTTATCAGAAGCATCGTTTGTCTATCCCAGCTCTTTAAAAATTGTTAGAAAGTTGGGATTATCTTGAAAAAGAACGACAGATAGTCATTACCACTGAAAGCATGTAGGCCGAGAGCCCGAGATATTCTCGACACTTTCAATACTAATCTTGATTGGATCAAAAAATATCAAGATTAGTATTGAAAGTGTCGAGAATATCCTAGAACTGACAACCAACCACGAGGACACCAAAATATCTTACCTACTCCTCTTTGCATTTCAAATTAATGGAGGTGCTGAAACAAATTGTATTTTGCGCTCTTGCTCGAGCGAAATAGACATCCCAATCATTCTCTTCGCAAACGATGATCCAAATATACAAATTTTGATCGATAATGAGACGGGCAAAGGTAGAAAATATCGCGAAAGACGACTTACATCGCTAGATGACGCTAGAAAAAAGATTTTCTGGGTGAAAAAATAACAGACCTTTCTTTATTACCACCTTGCCGTATGTATACGTGGTCTTTTGTTGCATGGCTGGAATGAAGATTTACGACGTGAATTTGTTTCTGAAGCATATCCAAAGGATATGCCAGCTGTTGGCCAGCAACCAAGAAAATATTTATCTCGCTCATATGAACTTTTGATTTTGAATCTTCTGATGAAGACAAAGAATAAACTAACAACTAAACATTTCTCTGAGTTAATGTGTTTTTGATTTACACTTCCAGATCTCTTGAAAATTTAATATTTTGAATGAAAACACTAATGAGATACCACTTTAAGCTCAATTATGAATGAAATGATTTCTGTCCACAAAAATACATGTTGCCACCCGCCATCACCCGCACCGCCCCCACCCCCCACGTCGGGCACTCACCTCGGCGTCCCCCCCCATACAATAGGAATCTTATTAACATATTTAGAGATGTTTCATCAAGCTCTTAGAAAATCATCATTTAAATCAACGTGAACACATTTCCCCGCCAATTTTATCCCCACCCCACCCTCCACACGCGCACATCTGCTACCCCCATCCCACCTCCCCATAAATCCAAACAGTTGTCCAGGGGCATCACAAACACTTATTTATAGATGGGCAGTCCTAGAAATTTATATTTTCATAATATATTATGTCAACATAATGACATCCCCCCCCCCCCCCCCCGCCCCATTGTAGACATTTGACCCCCTATATCTCGAAAACGCCCCCTCAAACGCCTGATCACCACCCAGATTCGGAATCTACGCAAAAAACTGGTCTAGAAAAACTTGGTCTCATAAATTCACAGCTCGGGTGGCGATTCCCCCCTTCAGCCACCGGACTACAAATAAAAAAGTTGAAGTTATTACATAGACAACACATATATTCATACAAACAGTATAGTACATGTACATATCTAAGGGTTTCAGTTACATGTAGTTCCACCAAATTTGATTTAGCTCTCTTATCAAAAGCCAAAAAAACATATAAAGCCACTGCCTTGGCAATGGATTTTGGTGGGTTAAAGATTGTAGTAAATCTCAGGATTTACTGAGAAGGCGGGGTATTTACGTATTTCTTCATACTTGCTACAGTTCAGCAAAAAATGTTGCATAGACGCTGATCAGTGGGAATTTTTTTTTTTGTATCGACCCCTCTCTATTTCTAAGTGATGGGTACTGAGTCTAAGTGTGGTCATAGCTTTCTTATGATCTCTATTTTTAACCGAATATAAATAGTCTGGAGAGTTCGTAACAGTAAGTTTAGAAATGAAATATGTACTTAATTTGCTGTTATTCGAGTTAGAGGATATGTGGTAGGGGGTAAATTTTGATTCGAGGGATTTCTTTATATTCTCTTTATTTAGCAAATGAACATGATTTATTTGGAGTTCCGATGTTAAATTATTGATTGCAGCTGACCAAGATAATTTTTAATTTTTAGAGGATATAGTTTTATCTTCAGTATAGGCTGCTGAAAGTAGAGGAAATATTTGTTTCATCCTGACAGCGTTTAGCCTTTTATGATACATAAGCATGCGGGTATAGACAGTGCTCACTCTGGGTTTCATTTTATTTTCGCCAATTTTTCATTTTAATTTATAAGCAATATATTTTCTCCACCAAAATAAAGAACAAATATCTATTACATTTTTCATTATTTTGTTTTACATAAGTACATACAATATGCATATGATATTACAATTTTACAAAATTCTTCTCTGCTTTGCAGAAGTCCATTTTTTGAAAGCTTTTTCAACATCCGGGTTAACCACTTTTCTATTACGATACTTAGTAATATTAAATTACACAGTGTATTTGTTTTTAATGAATATCTGTATATCTAACGTTAGTGGGAAGATTCCTAGTATGACACATTTTAGCATGTTTCAAAAAGCAACCAGCCTTTTGTGCAATATCTGACTAAAATGTAATACAAACTTGAAGAACACACTTGACACACATTCAAAAACACTTGAAATATATTGCCCTAAAATCATACAGTTTATAATATCCATTAGAATTTTGCCTTTATCTATCAAAAAGTAATTTCCAAAATAATAATACTTACTCACACAATTTAATATTTTTGAAACTCTCCTGTCTGCATGTATGCACTTCAATCTCATTAAAACAGTGAATTTTAACATGAATGACATAAATAAATTTAATTTCTTTTTTATCCCCACATCAGTCAACACAGCTTAATGTACATTTACAGTATCTTAAATTACCTGTTTACCCTATAAAGTGTCCTGTTTAAGGTGAATTGACATTTACAAATGCTGTGACATAGATAAAGTAATTACTGATGGTAGATATTTTACACACTGTTGTCAATTAAGTAAGCCCCTTCCTCTTCTTATAACATAGAAATGTTACAGGACTATCCTCTTAACCACAGGGGGGTTGGATCGCTGAATGGTTAGCATGTGGGCGATGTATCATAAAGTCTGTCATTGAGTCAACTGGCATGTTTTCGATTCCCCGGTAGTACGCGAGAAGGAGTAGGGTCGCCTGTCAAACCTCGTGGGTTTTCTCCGGGTCCTCCAGGTTCCTCCCACTGTGAAAGACCCCTACACGCAAGCGAATTATTGAAATAAAACTAAACCATATGTTAGTCCCGAAATGACCTAGTTTGTGTCGAGTGGACGTTAAACCCCATTTCTCTCTCTCTCTCTCCTCTTAACCACATGTTCTCCTTATGCAAGAACCGATAGGAAAGAACCACATGTTCTCCTTATGCAAGAACCGATAGGAAAGCAAACATGGATAGATTAAACCACGTGTATGGTGCTATTGCGTGTCGCACATGCAGCTCAGTGGTTCTGTTGGGGCGATAAGTTCTTCATCTGTGAACATACTCTCAAAGCATGTCAAGTGTCCATGACTATTTATCATATCACAACCTGCATAGGTATTTGCATTTCAATATCCCCTACTTTTTTTGAAGAGTATATTATGTATGCCAACTTTGCTGCACATTGAAATCTAGTGAACATATACTGAAGTCTAAAAGAAAGTATACACTGTTCATTTCGTCCTGTTTCAAACAAAGTCGTTTTTCCATTGTATGCGGTATTTGGGTACAATGTTCATTAGGTTTGCCTTTTATTTGCTTAGAAATATTGAGTTTGGACGCACGAGACGTGTTCAGTGTAGTTTTATCACATTTTTTTGATTTAAACAAAACTTAGTCATATTTTTAGTGTGTATACTTTCTTTTGGACTTCGGTATATATCATCTCAAAATTATTTTGTTGGTCAAAACATTTACTAGTTATATTTCTGCATATTGCTGAAGAAATGCTAACAAGCACAATCAACTAATTAATCATTACTACATTTAGATAGCAATTAAAGGGGTAATTGTTCTCATGGGGGTGTTCCCACTTTGCCGGCAGACTTTGATGTCAAATTTTGCCGATAATCCAGAGTTAATCCTAGAACAATGGTGTTATAAACTATAGTCCATATAAAACTGTATTGATTTTAACAAATTTAACTTTTATTAAATAACATTAAATAATTTACACATATAAAAATGTATTGATTTTAACAAATTTAACATTTATTAAATAACATTAAATAATTTACACATATAAAAATGCATTACAATTTACACATTTGATCTGCTTGACTTTATTTGGTACTTGTAACCATTGTGTATTAAATTTCGGCCACCTCAATTATTGGAGATAAAGCGAATATTAACCTGAAGGTTTGCCATTTTAAAAAAAAAATATAATTTCGACACAGATCGACCATCTATTTATATTAATATAGTGAATTGAATTCATGTTTGAAGGCATAACGCCGGCATGAACTGTGTTCAAAATGTCATTAATTAGTTGGTTAATAAATTTTATTAAGCGGGATTAAGAGCCTATTAAAGCTGAACACTAGTGAACAGTTCTTGAACGACTACTTTTAAACAGAGTATAGTTTTAAGATCAATTATAGGATTAACAGTCTGCATAGCAATAAAGACAGTAAACCTACTCAGTAGTTTTAGCAATTTTATTTTGTGCCCATCCTATTTAGCCAATGTTATCTTCTTGCACATTAATTTGTTCATTGAAGTAGACAGGTGTACATTTGAATTTTTGTGTGAACAAATTGGGGCATGGTATGTAAAAGGTTTGCCATCCCTGGCTTATACTATTTGAAAATAGTTTACATCAAACCAAAACGCAGTAGCAGGTTGAAATCTCGAGGCACCCATATCGTCATAATAACATATCAGACCCGGGCAAATAGGAACCATTTTACATAACCCGCTATAAAACAACTGTTTTCTATGGCTATTTTGGCCACTGAAAATGAATCCTGGCATGTTTTTTTGACCTAAGTCTGCATTTTGGCCTGGTTCAGTGACCATTTTCAAAATGGCGGTCAAAAAATATATTATTTTTCAATGAAAACTGAACTAAACACCTAACTATAGCTTGTAATATATCATTTCATATGTTTTTGAGGTTGCTAAACACGAAAAAGTACACCTATAAACATTTTGATGTACACTTTTTTCACAACTAGAACATTTACCAAGGTTTCGGATAAAACTAGTAGCTCCATCATACAAGTAAACAAGGACAATAAGATGTGAGCTCCATATGGGTTTCATATAATCATGTTAATTACATAATTATTGTATTTGGAGTGAGTTCATCAATAGAGGTCAATATCATTAAATCAAATGTGACAAATTGGGTGAGTGAAATTGGTGATAGAAAGTTTGAAATGGAAAGATTTGACAGCCGTTTAACTAGTTTGGCGTGTCCCTTGTCCGTAACCATGTGTCCATCCATAAATGCTGAAGCCGTCATAGCATACCAAGTTTTAAATTCCAAACACTAAAACACCAATAATTACCAATTTTTAACACATTAACATATATACACAGTTAAGTGATCCTGAGGCATGACAGGGAATCACTTTGAAGTGATCCTGAGAATCAGGGAATCAAGCCAGGAAAGTTTTCTAGTTGTGTTGCTTGTTATACGCCATAATGATTCCAATAATGGGCATGTAATGACCGAATTGGAATCACCGCCATGATGAGGAATCAGAGACTCTTCATAATGGGGGACGAAAGCAACACAGAGCTGAGCTGGCCATATCAAGAATACATTTTCCCCATACAAACACCAAATATTAAAATGTCTAAACATTTCCATTAGCCAAGTAAAAATGCTCCAAAGCACCTAGAAGTGTATTAATGAATATACTGTTATCAATATCAGAAAGATGAATGCTGTCACTTTGGAATAAATGACTAATGCCAAATTTTATATCTGGATATCTTATATATGCACCACCTAATTCCAATATTTTTTTGGCTGCAAAAATTATTAATTCCGGACCTTTGTTTTGATAAGGCCTTAGCATCTACCAGAAATTTTCGGGGTAGGATTTGTGACCACACCATGAAAGTATTTGGAAACCTATTTATAATAAATTGAAATGTTGTCCTTATTTTTCTACTGAAATCTGCAACATTTAATGTTCCAAGATCATTACCCCCGCAGTGAATAACCAGTATATCTGGTGGTGTTGATTCTATTGTGAGTAGGAATGTCAGCTTTTGTTCAAGGTCTTTGAATTTAAGACCACTGTAACCCTGCCACCAAATATTCATATTCAACCAATCTAATCCAAGGGTTAAGCCATCAGGCCTTGTACGGGCATAAGTGGCGGCCTTTTTCATGATGGATGACCCCGAAATTTTCAAATTAAAATGATGGTATATTAGCAGTGGGGATTCTTATGTAGGATTTGAAGGCTTCGGACTTCCACCATCCTGCACTTTGAATGGTTTCTTTGGTGTGACCAGCAATTGATGCAGCTGTAGCTGCACCTATTCTGAATAAATGTGACTTTTAATACCTAGATTCCACCCCTAATTGCCTCAAACATTTGTTTAGAACACTCGTGAATTGACATTTAGTCAGGGGCTTAGTGTCGAAATGACAGAAAAGGTGACCGTCAAATTTAGGTCTTGATTTAAAAAATTCAAACATATAAAACAAAGGACAAAGTGTACCATTTGCTTTTGGAATTTTTATTTTTGTCCCCTGACTAACTTGATCTGTTTTAGAGTGATGAAGATGAATTATAATTTGAGAACAGGTTAATTTAATGTCATGAATTGACAGAATTGTATTCATTGAGTTTCCCTTTGATAAAACTAGCTCTCCCACCGAAAAAAAAAAAAAATGCCAATGTATCAACAGCTTGAAATAATTTTGATTCGTATAGATTTGTACATATTATTGGAAGTACATGAACTAGTTTTGAAAGTAGAGGAAGTGTTATAAGAAGACGTTTATCAATTGAGGTCCTTGACCGCCCCATACCTGTCAAGAGTTGTGAAATTATAAAGTTTTGTGCGATATCCTGCACATTCATAACTTTGCATTTAGAGGCAATTGCTGAAATGTAGGATCTAACTGTAGAGTATGTTAAATTCCTCAGAGAGAGATATCCAATAAAACCCACCACACGGTTGAGCGAAGGTGGCCAAATACAGGAAAGTATATAAATTGACCTATAATTCTCAAAAGATGTTAAACCAGTCTCATATGCTGCCTGTGTGTTTTGCGATATGGATGCATCTAACAAACATCTGACTTCAGATTGGATATCATTCTGTGAAATAGTACTGGTATCGGTTGGGGATCTTCTTTGGCCTCTGTAGCTTCTTGTCGGAACTTTAACCACTGTTTACGAGAAATAAGACCTGCTATTTTATTATCAATACCTTTAATGTGCTTAGCTTTAAATGTAATATTAGATTTTAAGAGGACAAGAACTAAGGGACGGATTAATTTCATGATTTGTTTTGATTTAGATGTTTGTGTGTTTAAAAATGTTACAAGTGAAAGATTATCTGTGTGAAATAAAACTTTTTTATTTGTTAAAGATTTGATCCAGATAGTTACGTCTAATACAATTGGTATAAGTTCTAATAGTGAGATATCCCTCAGCATTGGATCGCCTTGCCAAGACATGGGCCACTGGAAGAATAACCATTCTGATTGAAAATATGCTGGACAACCTAGTTAGTGAGAACCGGCACTGTCAGTATACAGTCTTAATGTTGTGCTGCGTGACCAATTCTCCTCGGGGGGAAATAGGTAATACCATTGATAGGGTGGCCCATGTACTCACAGAAATACAGTCCACCGCTGATAGTTCGAGACTACCACTGAAGCGTGCACATTCGCCGTGCCGAGACCAACTTTCTGACAGTATGATACTATAAATAGCCATGGCACATGCAATTCTCTACAAATTTATCAACTATTACAGCCGTAAAAAATTTATTGTTGACGATTTTGAATAGCAGTAAAATTAAGCTTCTTGGTTATTACAGCAGATTTAGAAATTACGTTCGTTTCATTTTTTAAATCGCTTTATCATTAACTGTACCGTTAAGAGCGGCATCTTTTGGTTTAGTACAAATAATATCTCTGAAACACTCAGGTTAGGCAAGAACATGATACTAGCAGTAGTTTCATTTTACTTTTACAAGCTTCTTAAAACGATTGTTGAGCTACCTAACGTGCTTATTTCTAAATTCAATTTCTTGTTCTAGCTTTCTGTTATGTTTCGTAAAAAAGTAGTCTTGATTATCCCGACCTGTCAATCAGACGTAGAATGGTCGATAGACTGGTTAAGCGAGACTAATTTCAAAACAAGGGCACGTAACCTATCTTTTACTCAAAAGTGTCTGGATGTTATGGACGACTCTTGGAACCAGTTTTCAGTCTATCATTTATACGTGATTAATGGCCATAGCTTATTAAGTACAACATGATCGTTTATTTAGTGACTATAATTGTGTGGAACTGATTTGAGGCTTGGCATATATATAAGTATTGTGGCGTAATTGTCGAGATATATGGAGATATTTATTTATGGTGGGTCACCCTACCATTGAATTTTTATTTGGGATGTGGACGATGTGGTTGTATTAATTTCTAGGCCTAAAAATATTAACATGGTAGTCGGACTGACTGTTTTGTCTTCTGTGGTATCCCCAAATCCTCACATAATGGTTTGAAAATATGTCATTAGTGTTCGACACTCATCCTGTGTTTTCCTCATGAAAATGAAATCATCGAGATAATGATCTGCGCCAACTAAATTCGCTGTGTGAATAATTAACCAATTGAGGAAAGTAGCAAATTTTTTGAAAATATTGCAAGAAATTGAGCATCCCATTGGAAGACATTTGTCCAAATAATATTTATTCTTGAATCTGAAACCTAAAAGATCAAAATCTCCTGGAAAAATGTTAATTAATCTAAATGTAGACTTGATGTCCATTTTACCCAAATATAAAAATTCATATTTTGAAATTTTATCAATAATCTCATCGAACGATGTGTAATGAACTGTACATAAATTAGGGTCAATGAAATCATTTATGCTGTTATTTTCAAGATAAGACAGATGTGTTATCATTTGTACTACTCTTATTGGGGATATGTGCATGTTAGATAGGACCTACAATTCTGCCTAGATCAATTTCTTTAGTTATCTTTTCCTGTAATTCCTGTTCATAATGCTCAGCCGAAATAGGATTTTTACATGAAGTTTTAGCTTTAGGACTATTATACTACAAGTGAAATCCCTGTAAGAACCACTATCTTAATTCTGCTGCTTGTACTTTATTTGGATATAAGAGTAGATATTGTAGAAGTTTTTCTGTTTTAATTGGTGAAGCGCCAAGGGCCCAAATATTTGTTGTTTTGGAAAGTGTTGGATTTCTAGCTTGCATGTTTCTGTTCGTGTTCTGAAAATATTTTGGCTGGTCTTGTTCTGTTTGTGTTAAATTGGGGACGAAAAGTCTGATGTTACACTTTGAGGATTATAAATGTTTTTTAAGGGGCAGAAAATCTTGGGTGTTCCTTGTTGCATTGAATACAACAATGTGCATATGAACATTGCGAAATGTAACAAGAACCTTTATTGTTATACTCAAAACATTTTCCAACAGTAGAACGACCTTTAGTAGGGAATTGAGTCAACTGGTTTGTCACTGGTTCAACATTGGACATGTACAGTAACCAAAGCTCATAGTCAATGTTACCCCATGAGCCAGATGGATCATTTGCAAGTTTTAGTCTAAACTGTTCGTCATGTTTTCCACCCCATAGTCCTAATCTTTGAAGCCCCTAATCGGATGGTGCTAATATATTTTAACAAATTCTGAAATTTAGTAGGATGAACTGAGGAGTATATACTTAAATATATTAAGAAGGCGCCAGTCCATTTTTCAATATCAAAATTTTTGATTGTTGACTTCTCTTTAGTCATTATTTCCCCATTAGGACCTAAGGATAGGCTCCTTTCAGAGTCCTTTGGTGTGGCCAATAATGAAGCGAGATCAATATAGTCACCATGACAAATCTTTTGCTTTATGGTTGGTGAAACCTGTGCTCCCAGAGCGCTATGGATACTCTGAACTTGCAGTGGGTTGCTATTTGCAGTGTGAGAGTCTAAAAGGCTCTCATTTATTGTAGTAGGCCTACTCTGATTAATATTATCATCAGTCATATTAATTATTTCATTACCTGTATCAAGGTTTGCTGAATCAGAAAGGGATCTGCTAGCAGTAGGCCTAGTGGGTGAGTCTACATGTATATCAGAGATAGCTTCATTTTCCCCATCATTGTCATTTCTGCTTTCTCCTCTCTGTCTTTTGTCAGTTGCGACCCGCCGACCCTGAGCATATGGGATGGAGCTTGGGCGAGATAACCTTTTTGTAGTTTTGCCTCTACCCATAGTATCACTCTATTCACAAAGACGAACAAAACACCAGGTCATGGGTTCAGGATTTTATTGTGGATCATCAATTTAGTATACAGATAAAAAAAAACTCTGAAAGACATAAAGAAATGTATAAAAATCAAGAATAGTAATAGTTTACACTATATACATATATATTTACAATAGTGGCGGGAAATAATTGATTTGAAACAAAGGAATGAATTAAGATATTTACAATGAGTTTTAACTAATACAATTGCATACAAATACATATACATACCCTATAAAATAGGAGTTTATAAAAGGGTTGATGTCTTAAATATGGCTACCATTCAGACACAGTATTACATAAGACTGAAATTAAGGATATGAATAAATTAACACTAAATAGCTGAGAGTAGAATATTCTCAATTACACAAACATACTTATGGAAATACTTATATAAATATAGTAACAACTTAATTATTTCGGATATAAAATATATTCTAATTACATTACCATATTAAATAAATAAAATATTAAAGTCGGTCAAATAAATATAAAACTTACCAAGTGACAGAATGTGATCCTCCTTGTAACAAGGCTAAGATGCAAGTGCAAATTGAAAGAGAAGCTGAGATGTGGTTATTTTAGTGAGTTAAAAGTGAGTAGAATTTAGACTTGCTGTTGTAAAGATATTCTTAAGCAGCTTAGAGATGTACTATTAAAGGGACAATACAACGAACACCAAATATACCATAAATAACTAATATATTAAAGGGACAATAATACAACAAATACTCAAGATACATAAATACAAATATACACAAATATATTCTACCACAAAAACAATCATGAAAGAAAATCACGGGCAACGACTCAACTAGGCTATGTCTCGTTATACCTGTATGCCTACTGACTATGGTGACGTAGGCAGGCCTACCTAAGTAGGTGTATTCATTTAATAATACCAGACTAACACCAAGACCCAGATTCAGGGTTAAACTTTAGGTAAGCCTGGTGCTTTTTTTTTATCCTGTTGGACGTTACCTTAATTTTATGTAAAGTAGAAATGCTCAGCCTCAGAGGAAACTTCTAATTTTAGCTGAGTCATACAGAACAGATGATGTTAAAATTGAAGCTGAAACAAAATCTAAACCATCCACATAATTTTATGCCTTTAAATTGGTATTCGCTATTACATATAGGTTCCTAAACCTTAATGCTAGCCTTTTTGTAAGAATCTTAGATTTGATGAATTACAATTTAGTTGTAAATTTAAATTTCTTAACATGGAAAATTGAACCACATTTTACTTTCTATAGAAGAGTTTCAAGAGGAAGATCTATGCTGCCCCCTGGGTTATCAACTAGGCTGAACAAGAGAGATAACTCTCTTTCCCTATAAGTTATATATTGTGATGATCTAGGCTACATAATTGACCTAGTATCTAATTTAGGTCATATGTTATTGTTAAATATTACTGAGCCGGTAACAACCCAGTTGGATCTCTCCTAAATAAACCCATCTATTGAACATACAATAGATGTAAATATTGATATCCCTTTAATTGCAAGATCCTTTCTCACACTAATTGGACACAAAGACGAAGGTTAATTTTTAACAAATTTCTGTTTTAATATGAGAATAATAAGGTGTCATTAGGCATTATGAAGAGGGGTAAACACAGGTCTAATCTCCTATAGTGATGTGGGAGATATCTTTCCATTATTATCCTACCCAGAACAAGGTTGAGGGAGGGATACTGAAATGGGCTCTGTCCATCCACCCCAGTTTTGTTTCTGAGCACATATTATAAACTGTTCAAGATATCTTTATGAACTCTTTGTACACACGACAACATGTTTGTTCTTTTTGATGCTAATGAGAAATTTGGGGGGTTGGATGGCCGAATGGTTAGCACGCGCGCGCTGTATCATAAGGCCTGTCATTGAGTCAACTGGCGTGGTTTCGAATCCCCAGTTGTACATGACAAGAAATAGGGTCGCCTGTCCAACCTCGTGGGTTTTTTCCATGTCCTCCGGTTTCCTCCCACCGCTAAAGACGCCTATGCGCAAGCAAATTATTGAAATAAAATTTTTAAAAAACATATGTTAGTCCGAAAATGACCTAGTTTGTGTTGAGTTGACGTTAAACCCCATTTTCTAATGCATTTTCTAATGCATTAAACCCCATGCAGCATTTATGTGGCTGCCATCATGTTTTTAAAGCAAGGCAAGTATGGAGTCAAATATTAGGAGGGGAGTAGCATCATTATGCCCCCTTACACCATTATAAATTGGTTAGGTGAAATTCAAAACTTTGACCGTCTATTCCCCCTCTTCTTTGAAGCCACCGCCATCCTGGCAAATGTGGTAAAAATGTTTTTCTTCCATAAAGGATTAGTCATCTATTGAGTTATTGTTTTTGCTTCATGAAATTCGTATTATTTGAACAGAAAACAAAAATATTAATATTAATATTAATATTAACAACTTGTTAAGATTTTTATACTTTCTGATTGATATACATTAATATACATTGACATTTATTTCTTTGGTTCAATATTTATTTTGAGACATAAAATCCCATATTACTGGTACTAGAAATCACATTTCAGTTACTGTCAATACTATGAAAACTAATGTCTTAAGTCTGTGAGTTCCATATTAAATTAATTAGGTCATCTATTTATACCTCATAACATTTTTTTAAAACAAGAAACATCAATATACAACTGTAAACATCAGAGAGAAAAAAAAAACTAGACTAAACAGATCTATAGTTTATTACTGTAAATATATCAATAACCAACAAAACGTGATGACCTTCATCTTGTTTGGCTTTTGTTTTATCAGAAAAATCAATTACAGTTTAATATTGTTACAAGACCTACATGAGTTAAAATATCATACATAGATTGTTACATGGTCTTCACTGGCCTAAATAATGTTCTATTGATTTAGATATATTTTTAACACAACTATCAAAGGAGATGTAAAAATATATAGTTAAATCATTTTAACAAAGATTTACATTGCTTATAGACAATTATAAGCTACATGTCAATTTAAAACACCATGACTATATATATACTGTTTCTAATGCATTAAATAATTAGATGCCAGAGTGTTTCCTCTGACAAGATTACCGAAATGAGATGTTAAACAAATTATAATTGTGGAACAAACTATCTCTTCTTGGTACTAAGTAATTTGGGGATTAAAATAGAAGGAAACTGGATGAGCTAGAGAAAATCATTAGACGCCAGAGTGTTTCCTCTGACAAGATTACCAAAATGAGATGTTAACAAATTATAACTATTTTGGGATTTACAGATGTTCTCCTCAGGTCTCAGAGCATTCTTAATGGAGATTTGTACGGTAGTTCATCTAAACAGTTCGAGTTATAGGGCCACCATGGCCTTCTGCGGGGATCACACTGTCCCAAAATTGATAACAGATGGTCATACAAATATGGGATTTTGAACAGCCAATCAACAGTCAAAGCAAGTGCAATGCCTACAGAGGGTCACAAAACACGATGGTAACACAAGGATGTGATTTGTTCCATAGTAGTTTATACCCACAGAACACACGATGGCTACACAACGTCGTATTGAGAACTTAGAAGAGGAAGCTTAGGATTTAGAGGTACAAGAAGATAGCACTGAGTCTCCAACCAGAGAGAAAAGGGGAGGAAATCCAAGAAAGGTTCCATGTCTCCTCAGTGGTCTGAAAGGTCTCCTTGGCAGTCTAAAAGTTCTCCTCAGCAGTCCCAAGAGCCTCAGCAGCATTTGCTTTTTCCCCTCCTTCTCATAACAGACAGTCCAAATCCTAGGATGGTCAATGGATGGGGGGCAAGAGGAGTTATTGATTTTGTTATATATTCCCATACATAGTTGGCTTGCATGTACATGTACTTACAATGGGTCCGTCTGTCTGTCCTTCACACTTTTTGGGACACAATAACTCTCCTGATTGAGCATTTTCTGCTTAAGCTAAGCAGAGATAAGCAATTGCTTTGGGGCATAATAACTTTGGTTCTAATTACGTGAGAGTCATGAAACTAATATGATCGGTTGAGACTTTCGAACACAATAACTTTGGTTATAATTGATTTTCATGAAGTTTAGACATTAAGTAGATCTGACTTAACTTATCTCCCCTTGGAGAAATTAGGGTCCAAGTTTTCAAAAAATCAAAAAAAAAAATGGTCAGATAAGACACTACAGATGCAGATGCATAATAGGGTCATTCGATATCAACTGGACCAATGGTGAGAACATGACCCCCTCCCAAAAAATTATAAAAAATATATGTTATAGCCAGTGATGGTATTTCAAAATTTTAGTTGTCGGACATTTTCTTCACGAAAATAAAGGGACATAAATCTTATCGTTATTTAAGCAGGCGTTTTCAAACCACAATTAAGAATCACGTGTCAACAAAATATTCAAATTCATACGCAATAAAAAAAATAGGTGCACCTCGTTATTTTTCATATTTAATTACCGAACGGTATTCAAATTTATGTCAATAATATTCCTACAAAATTACATGACATTGTAATACCATAGAATGAAAGCGTGCCGACTACTGCCCATCCGTACCGGTTTCAAATTCCCACAAAATTAACGTATTTTCGGGTCATAAGTCGAAACATTTTTCAGCAAAGTCTGGCATTCGTCTTTTTCTCCGTTTCAATTTATATACGGAAGGTATACAACGAGCGGGTGACACCAACTGCTAAATAATCCCATTCGACTCTAAGCACGCACTATCGTCTAAAACAATTACCGTAACTACTTACATTATTCCAATCGAAATATCCGTCAACATTTCTTAGCGTGTTTATTTATTTATTTAAAAACATGAACCCCATTCAAAATATGATCATAAATCTGACAATATGCCATCAAAATAGAATCTTTTCTCCCAACATCAGACGTGTTAGATTTGGCACGTTTACACCTCTTAATTTTGCGTGTGTGTGAAATAGCTTTATTTAACTTCGGCTTCCACTGAAGAAATATCACAGACAAGTTATCGGACACAATGTATATTGATTTGGGGTGTTATATACTATTAGGATATGTGACATATATGACTAATGTCTACAGCCGACATCAAGGAGATTAAAACGTGAGACAATGGAGAAATCACGGGTTAATCACGTAGATTAAGGTTATTGAATTGATATATAGTCCGACAAAGGAGAAGCAATGACTTCTGTTCAGGATTGAATTGATGAATTGTCCGACAAAGAATTAAGTCAGCCAATCAAGGCAGATTAAGTAGTTAATCAAGGTAGGTGTATAGACGGTATAAAACGATAAATACGTTGATCACTTAATTACCTAATCAATTCAGCCTATTATCAATGATAATCTGGTTGAGTGGTAGTTATACACTCAGTACACTATATTAATTTTGGAATTTTGAATATTATTTACCATGTCTTGATGTCCGATTGGGCATATTCCTGGTCGGCCAATTTAGGACGTTTGGAAAATAGCGTCGGACATGTCCGGAATATACGGGCAAAATCCCATCACAGGTTATAGCAGTCATGGGATTTCAAAATGTTTCTTGTCGAACATTATTTAAGCAGGCGATTTCAGACCACAATTAAAAATCACGTGTCAACAAAATATTCAAATTCGTACGTAATAAAAAAAATCGGTGCGCCTCATTATTTTCATATTTAATTCCCATACGGTATTCAAATTTGTGTCAGTAATATTCCTACAAAGTAGGTCAGATTGCACAAAATATAGAGTTTTTTTTATACTTTCGAAGGCTTCTACTACATGAAGATCTGTCAGTTGTAGTGGCAGGTCACGTCAGGGGTCATACGAGCATCTTTTGACCCTATGACGTCAGACATTTGATTAGCATTGATGTTTCTAGTAGGATGCCCACGCATCGCACGCCAATAACTCATTGGATAAACCCTCACATTAACTAGAATGCGGGTTATCTAACAACTCTTCCAGATCCTAGTGTAGTAAAAACAAGTAAAACTAGAACTGCGATGTAGTAATGACGGGTTT